TATAGAGAGAGAGAGAGAGAGAGAGAGAGAGAGAGAGAGAGAGAGAGAGAGAGAGAGGAATAATGTAAGAGAAATAAGCCTACCAGCAGGACACAGCTATAAAGTTAAATTGTTTCTTTTATAGCGCAAATTCCACAGAAACAAAGACGGCGAACATAAGCGTCTGTGGCGTAGACTGTTTATTATGCTATTGTCGTTGCACGCAAGAAGCGTGTTCAATTCCATTGTTGAGAAATCTATTTTATCGAGTCTCTCAATCTATCTGTTTGTTGGGAGGATTTAAATCAAATAAACTGCATTATTAGGAGCGTAAAATACATTAATTGATCAAAAGTAAGGATTAATGGTTGGCTGTCAGATTTCTATTACGAGAATGCTGTTTTATTAACTATTATTCTTACAATTTGATCACGTTTTAACATCCTCTGAAAGTAGAACCAGTTTTTCTCCTTCTCCCTCGTTTTCTCTACCTATCTCTCGCTTGTATCCCTTAACATTATAGGTGAGCTCTCACGAGAAGACGGAATAAGGAAAAGTTGTCACAAAATAAGCAAACGGTGAAATACTGACGTTTTACACCGACACTAGAAACGTACTAATTCTCCGAGTGAAAAGACACACTCGCAGCTTTCAACGGCCCCTGAAAATAATAGATTGAGAATAACACTACGTTAAATCATGAAAGGTGGTGTAAAGGATATGCTCATCTCTGTTGTACCCTCAAGACGTGGGTTCGATTGCCAATTGGGGAACATTCATTATCGAGGGTCTTTGTGGATCTGTTGAGTTGCTGTATCCTGGCAGACCAATTACACCTTCTAAATTATTTAAATTGTATCCATGGGGTGTAAAAGGTTTTTAAATTGCTTTTAATTATTACAATTCGCCTTTCTACAACCCCAGGGTATACGTAACAGTGTTGAGAATGGCAATAAGCCAAACCAGCATTGGCGTAATACTCAATTTTTTTTTACTGTTTCACTCAAGAGACGTGAGTTCGATTCCTGTGTTGGGAAGTCTTTTTTTCTCCGTATCTCCGTCTTTCTGATGGGATGCTGTATCCCACTAAGCTCGGGTCGGCTCTGACCGGCAGAGACGATGCAGCCCGCCCTTCCGGTGACTTAAAGTGACTTAAAGTGTGTTAATAGGGCCATAAACCGTTTTCAACCAATGAGAAGTGAAATCATGACTGATAACATCTCCGAGAACTCGGATATTTCGGCAAGGACGCACGCGACACGGAAAGAATAATGGTACTGAGAAACCATCTAGATCTATGAACAAAAATTCTCGCATCTTGGCGAACTGTTTGGACTTCTCTTCGGTTGCGTGATACCAAACATGTATTTGCCGTTTTCTCGTGAGAGCTCGCACCTGCATGCCTTCCCCTCCCCTCTCCCTGCACCTCCGATCGCCTGCACCCACCAACCGCCCATCCCTCTCTGTGGTAGCTTGCCCCTGACTCAAACACCCTACCGTCAACATAGCAAACATTTCAGTTTTGCGAGCGCCATCCGGGTCGAGCCAGGAGACGAACTTCGGACCACCTGCGTGTACAAGAGGACCGCTACCCCTGAACCAGTCTGCTGGGGGGAGGCAACTTCGGATGAGATGTGTTTCGGATTCCTCACTTACTTCCCTTTGCAGGTGAGTTAGAGTTGAAAATGAAAAAGGTCACACACCACCAATGATTAACATTTTTTACAAATATATATATAATATATATTTCAGGTTGATAAAATGAAACGGTAATCTATAATATAGGTTTAACTACCCTTTCAACACTGTAAGTTTATGAGGTGGAACTTCCGATTCTAACGTCCATCTGCGATCGGAGAGAGCCAAATAGATGGAGAACCTTAAAAACTCCCAAAAGAAACCGAAGTCCAAAACGACTTGGTGGGGATTCGAACCAGGGCTATTCAATCCATTGTCCAGCATGATACCAACTGATATAGCGGAGCACCCTTTCTTTGGGGTTCAACGAAACTATAATATAACATAGTTTTAACAATCATGATATTTCTTTGTGTATTGGCATATTTGCCTATGACATGATCGGTAATTTAAAATTCGAAATACATTATATTGTGCTCAAGAATCAGCCTCTGCAATCCACGAAACAAATTTTCAACAGGACATAATTTCTGAAATAATTTTGGAGTTGCCTGGAATGGAAGATCATGGGCGAGGGAAGGAGGTAAAAGGGGGGG